GGGTAGTAGCATTTCTCCCTTTTGTTTTGTTTCTTCCTGTTTTTTATTTAAGCGAGTGAGATTATTGCAATAGCTTAAAAGAACAATAAGTAGTTCATTATTTTAGAGTTTATTTGCCGTACGTTTTATAAACGACACTTTAGTGACGGGTTTGATTAGGCGCATCAACTTAATTGAGAAAGAGCTTGTCCGCGTGTTAAATACTATACTTTTTCTACGACCATTACTTTTTGAGTACATTTTTGCAAACGACATTCACTGAGTGGGGTATTTTAGAGGGGGCGTAGAAAAAAAAATTCAAATCGCTGTCTGAAAGTGTTTAGTCATAAGGTATTCCCACATTCATTTGTCATTGTGCAATATAATATGTTTTATGTTTTACCGAAAACAAAGGAATTTTGAATAATGTGGTTTATGGACAAATTAAAAGTTTTTTTGGCCCTCGTATAAAGTGTTGACGTTGACATAGAACCATTTTTTTTCAGTCCAGAGCAAATACAAAATGTTCTCCTACTTTCTTGATATGTCCGAGATACAATAATTCTCGTCATTTAAATTTCGATTTTCAATGTGAATTTTAAATTAAAAAAGCTCCCCCTTATAATTAACAAGTTCATACTACAAGCGCTTTGAAATACAAGTTTTTGCCCTGTTAAACTTGACAATGGTTAGTTGATTATTTTATTCGGTTGGAGATAACATCATTAAATGAATGAATGAATGTTTGGCATAAAAAATACTATAACATACTTGTTTTATGTGTAGTGATTTTCAAAAAAACCACCAAAATGTTCCAATTACCAAATCGAGCAGTGTTAATTTTTCAAAGAAGCTTCCACAAGCTACCTTAATAACACAGTTTCAGTAAAGCTATGAAGAAGCCAACAGTTTGACTGACGAAACGAAAGAAAATTTGTAAAGACTTGATGTATGGAAAAAATTAAATAAAATTTCCTTAATAATAATAATAATATAGATAGAAACGCCAGAATGTTCACACAGAGCTCCAATAAAGAGAAAGATAGTCTTATCATTCATAAAATTGTAGACATATTCTTATAATTTTAGGACTCAAGAATGTTCACCAAAGTCACCAATAACATAAAACTAAAGTGGTTCGAAATTTCACAGATTCAAGAATTGAAGTTGTTTTACCTCTGCTTTTGGTAGCGATTTACTCAACCAACAATAATTATGATTATCCTTTAACGAGCATATGATTGGAAATTTCAGGTAATCTTAAGTTTACCATAGAATCTTATTGTCTTCCTATTTCAATCCAATCGTTGTTTTCGCTACACTCATTAATTAAATAAGTTTAAATAAGTTGATCCTTTATTGTTATATATAACCTTTTTTATTTTGTTTGTTTCTACGTATTATATGTTAGTTCGGTTCATGTTAAATAGATTTTTATTAATTAGATAGTAAAAAATGAAACGTTTTGTTTTAACTCACGGCTATTTGGCATTAGCACAAATTTAACAAATAATAAGAGTTTTAGAAAAACAAATAATGAATATGTTATCGAGAGTTATCAGTATAGAAATTTACGCTCAACCAGGTGGTGAACTTTTTAGGATTTTCGATCACATTCGTTATACATGGTGCTTCAAAAAAATGTATACACACTTTGAACTTCCATAGAAAATTTATTTACCGTTCTACAAAGTTCAATTTCAGGAAAATAGAAAGCTGAAAGTCCAATGTAAATGAAACATAAATAACAAATGTTAATACTGTTCAAATTGGTGACCTGCAGCATCAATACAATTCTGAGTACGAGTCACCACTGATTCTGTACATCGTATCAAAACGTCCAATGAGATTTCTCTACACACTGCTTGAATCTCATTCCAAACAATGTCTAGGTTACGTGGTTTACGTTTGTACACCTCATCTTTTACTGTGCCCCACAAGAAGAAATCCAGTGGTGTAAGGTCTGGAGAGCGTGCTGGAAACTCGATTGGCCCCCTGCGTCCTATCCACCGGCCCGACAAATTTTGTAAGGTAAGCTCGTACGTCCCTGTGATAGTGCGGCGGAGCACCATCTTGTTGAAAATAAAAATCATCATTACCGTATAATGCACGAATGGCAGGAAATATGCAATCAGCAAGCATTGTTAGGTAATTAAAACCAGTTACAGTGCCTTCAAATCGAAAAGGTCCAATGAGTCCCCTTGAAGACAAACCGCACCACACATTTACACCAGGCAAATTTACAGCTTTTTCAATTGTAATGTGAGGATTTTCTTCACCCCAGTAAACACAATTGTGCCTATTGACAGTTCCATTAAGTTTGGATTGGGCTTCATCCGACCAAATGATGCTACCCATAAATCCCGCTTCACGTATCACCATCTCCTGAATCCATTCACAAAATTGCAACCTTCGATCTGGATCGTCGTCATTTAGCTGTTGCACCAGCCTTGGAATGTAAACACGATACTTCTCTTCAGAATGCCTAGCACGCTGCTAGCACTTACATCACTTTCACGTGCCCCTTGCCTTGAAGATTTGTTAGGAGAGCGTTGAAACAGTTCCAAGACTGCCGTTGATGACTCATCACTGAATGACCTTTATGCACATCACACACTGTTCCATGAACTTCGAATTTGCCTCGTATGCGTGTAATTGTTAATCTTGAAGGTGGTTCTGTATCATACTCCCTTCTCCACTGTCTTTGAACTTCATTTACATTCTCAAACTTCCAGTACCACTTAATAACCTGCTTACGTTCTTCAAAACTCAAACGTACGTTCCCCATGTTGATATTACAAATTCCAGCTGATAATATAACATAGAGGGACGATTATGCTGACACCTGGCGAAGAAATATAACATTAGCCTTGTAGAGCGGGAAAACTACAATAGTTTAAAGTGTGTATACATTTTTTTGAAGCACCCTGTATTTAACCAAATTTGACTACTATTGAAGAACCCAACAGGATGATTGGCCAAACGTTAGCAAGTTCGGCTCGGCAAAAACCGACGCAGGAGGCTAGAGGTTGTGTAATAAGTGAATCTGACTACCTGAGTATAAGGGCCATTGGGGTTTTGCCGCTCCAAAAGAATATTAAGGATATCGACATCCCGAAAGGTTAACCTTTGTCGAAATGATTTGAAGGAGCAACTTCATATCGATCGATTTTAATAATAGCTATATCTACATGGTTCCGCAAACGGCTTAAGAATTTTTGCATTAACGGCTTCCATACATTAAGTAGAAATGATTTTTGGTACATTGGTACATTGGTACAGGCGCAGATGTTTGAATTGCGAAATATGAAATCAGTTTCTATAGCTTATTTTTGTCCACGTTGTCCTTGGTTGATGTTCTAACGCGATACTTGTAGGTACGAGAGAGTCCACAAATTAGTACAGGGAACACGTAACAGAAGTCAGGATGGTATGGCGTCAAAAAAATTAGGAACAACAACAGTTAATGGAGCGGACTGCATTAGATTGTTGTACTTTCAATCATGTCCTACCCGGATTTATTGACTTTTAACTTAATTCTAATTTTATTAATCATGAAAAGCATCCACCCTTACTGTATGTGCAAATCTGTAAGACTGTGCTGAACAGTGTCGTGTCCGCCCATCTTCGTGTGACAATAGATTCTTCTTAACCATTATTGTATTTAGGGGTACATTAAAGGGGTTGGCATTGGTTGTTTGTATCGAAGCATTGGATCCCTATGACAACCGGGTCGTTGCAGACAATCAATCCAGCCCACGTATACATTGTTGGTATTCCGTTAGAAGAATGACTTCCTAGTATTACGATGTTTGTTCACAAATCAGTATTCAACTGTAGGTTGTGGAACATCGGTTAAAAGTGCTATCTGCTTTTGTACTTGTGCCTGAGGTACGTGAAATATTTTTTCATGTAGACTGCTAGCGGCGCATTTAGTTTTAGAATTTTCGAATTTCTTTTTACATCCATGAACGGAAAACACACCCGGTGTTTGAAATAACGTTGTAGGTGAGATATGGATCTATCGCTGCGCGTTTTATTTTATTGTTTTCACAAACATATTTCTCTATTTTATGAATTGAATAAGTTGTCCTGGTATAATTCGACGTATATAGCGGATGATTTCGCAACTTCAATAATATTTAAGTGCTCATATTAGTTGACTGTTAATAAAAATTTAATATTGAAATTTTCCAAAAAAAAAATTAAAGCAGACTCTCAAGCATCCGATATATTGAATATCAAATTAAACGGATATTTTTTCTTCTTATAACCCTTTATTCAGTACTTACTGGTAATAATCAGCAGCTGCTTTGCTGTCTGATCACCTTAAAGCAATGGCTACTAGCTATGCAAACTAATTATGTATAGAGAAACCTATAAGTATACAGAGTGTTATATAATAAGATGATGATTTTAAGAAAACAAGTTTATATCTATGTAGGTCGGCAATCGTTTTATTTTTTATATGGATGTTAAAGTTTTCAAAAATGTAGTAGAATATGATTATGGAAAACAAATTGTACCCCACTGCTTTTTTCAAAAACAAATTATTATTAAACAAGATTCTCTAGACTTTTTAACGTATGACGACGGGTTTCCAAAATTTTCATTTAGTTGTTAGTTACACTTTCATATTATTTTTGTTTATTTTGGATTATTTTGTAGTTTAGAATGGATTGGATTTGACAGTGTGAAACCTTGTACTTGATAATTTTTGAGTTGAAACATGGTATGTTGGTAGAATCGCCTTCCCGGTGCATTTTTAAAATGATAAGCCTGTAGCGATAGGAGACCGTGGAGCAAGGAGGCCAACCTCAACAATTAACCAATGTTTTTCTTCTAATAATTATAAATTTTGGTTATTTTTACATTTTTAGCCTTTTGCGTAATACCAGGGATAAAATCGACCGCTTCAAAATTCTAAAGCAGTTTCAATGAAAATGAGGAAAAACAGTGTTTTTTAATAGTATATTATGCAACAAATGCGGCAAACGGCATTTGACTCACGAGTTTATTTTACAAGAGCGGAGAGTGTTTAATAAACGAGTGACTTAAAAAGTTTACCGAACGTGTTGCATACTATGCTATTTCTACGACCGTTAGTTTTTGGGTACATTTCTGGAAAAAAAAACACGAATACATTCACTGACAGGACTGTCAGAATTGACAAGCGTCAAACTTCAAAACGTGCGAAATGTCTCCGAAAACATTCGATTGCTTCCAAAACGGTGCGGTAATATCCCGAAAATGTTCGAAGTGGCTCGAATCCGTGGGAAACGAAACTGACGTGGTAAAGTGACGCTTCCCGAACGCTACATCGGTGTATAATTAGGTATTTTACAGACGGGAGTAGAAAAACTTTTTAACTCATTCGTTTAATAAAAAGTCGCTCCGCTCGTGTCAAATAAACTCGTGAGTCGAATGCCGTTTACCGCACTTGTTGCATACTATACTTTTTCTATTTTCGCAAAACAACACGAATACATTCACTGACATGACCCTCAGAATTGACAAACGTCAAAATTTAAAGCGTAGGAACCATCTCCGAAAACATCTGATTGCTCCCAAATCCGTGCGGTAAGCGAAAGTGACACTTCCCGCACGCTAGATCGGTGGGTAATTAGGTATTTTACAGACGGGAGCAGAAAAAAATATTTCACACTGTATATCAAAAATTGCGGACCTAGACTGATATAAAACATTTTTCTTAAAATCATTCAAGGAATTGCATCCTTAAGGATCATCATTTTATTATGAATTACCCCGTATAATCATAGCTGTATTATAGTGAAATATTAAGTTCGTCTCTCCTTTTTGCAAATGGTATTTGCGCAATGGATAAAATCTGTTCAAGTTTGTTAACTATTTGAGCCAAACTTCACCAATGATGAGCTTCACTTAAGATTTAAACTTTATCGAGTCACACACCATTTAGTTTACTTAAACAATACGTTAATTAGTTTTTAAACTGTCAGATTTTGAACTGCAGACGTAGGGATTGTTCACCATCATCCACATGTCGTTTTGAGAAATTTGTCTGTGTTAATCGGTAGTCCGGGTAAGTAAAAAATGTTTTGAAATAAAACTATCAATGAAACAAAGCTGGAACCTCCGGCAATAAAAGCATAAACACCTTTTTGAGTTAATGACTGGTTGTTGCGGTGTGATACGTCTCATATGATAGTGTCGTGAGAGTTATGAAATAGTGCTAAAGATGACCTTAAGAAATTTCTCATTTTTTAAAATAAAAAATTCGTTTTTTCTAGATAAATTTTCTTTTTAATAATAAATTAATAATGGAGTCTCACTTATGCATCATTTTCTAATTGTAATATCTCCTTTCATAAGTACAAAATATAATAGCAATTTTTCTCGGACACCCTGTATTTAGGAACATTCAAACCAGGTATTGTCTGTTCATAGATATAAGAAAGTGACCAATTGCTTTTGAATTTACATACAATGCAACAAGATTATTACCAAAAGTTTCGGAATTTAAATTCAGGTAAAATTGTGGTCCGTAATAGAAAATAATTTTATACCTACCTACAAAAGGAATACGTCTGTAATAATTATGCAAAAAATCTAGGGAATACAGTTTACCACTGTACATTTAATTCCATTGAATATGTTTGGCACCAACTGATATCTGCCATTCGTCGTAACAATGTTTTTCCCCGTGTTAACTCCAATGTCCTCAAACTTATAGAAACCGATGTTTTTAACATCCCTCCACAAAGTTGGGCAAATTCTGTTAAACATATAGAAAAAGCAGAACAATCGTATATCCATATCGCAAATAATACAGAACAAATAATAGTTAGAACAGGCGATGATAGTGATAGCGATACTGATATATTATGTGAGTAATTTTAAGTAATTTAAGTAGGTAACAAAAATAATTTGTAATTTTATTTTAGATTTAAACATAAATACATAAATAAATAAATAAATATTGTTTAGTATCATTCCTAACAAAACCCCAAATAATTAAATTCTAAGCAAAGTACGGACCTGTTCGGCCATATTTCCTTCTTACAGCTTGCCCGGGTCTTTCCTTAATTCGTAACAGTTAGTCACTTTCTTATATCTATGAACAGACGTTACAATTAGGTTTTAAGTAATCTCCAATAACAAGCCGCCATCAGCGTCTTTTTCGAAAAAATGCCTAATAACTGGTTTTGAAGAAAAAAAGGTGTCCAGTACGTTGACTGCGCATTTTGAATACCTACTTAACAAAAAATAATTAACAAAATCAATCAAAAATTAAGATTTTACTAGAGTAGACCCACAAAATTTCCAATTGTAAAGTAAGTTACAGCAATTTTTCGAAAATGCACATTTTAGAAAAACGCTCTATAACTCTAAAACCGTAGCAGATATCCATATTTTGTTCTTTTATTTAAATTGAGCTCCAGACACCGACATCAGTATTCATCTATTTCCTTTCGAAAGGGGATTTTCGCTTTAAAACCCACTCTTTCAATGTTTATAGAAACGAAAATAAAATCCAATCCAATCCTATATATCGTAATCCCCACCAGTTTTCTTTAGTTCGTCCAGGCATGGCAGAATATTAGTTTTTTCTACTTTGTTTTATATTAACATTATGCAAGAAATGAGCTGGTATTTCGGATAATTCTATCGTTAGAACGCCATGTAGATAACGTAAATGGTGATAATTTTTTGCAAAAAAAACGTATTAAGAATTTTCATTGACAAGCGCTTTTACATTTGAAAAATTTAACATCAAAAACAGAAACAGAACCCGGACTCCGTGGAGAATAAAACAAATAAAACTAGAAAACTCTCTGAGGTTAGTGTTTTGTTTTTCGAAATCCTCTCGGAAGTCGTAACATCGAAAAATTTGTAGAAGAGTTTCAATGGAAAAAAAATGGAAAACAGAAGAAAATGTTACCCGCTTCATGGAAATGATTTTTTTTTCAGGAAAAAAGAATTAGAAAAAACAAACAAAACATAAAATTAATTGTCCCTTTAGTAGAATACCAGCATGATCTTCAACTGCAAATGTCCGTGGACCTTAATTAAATTCAACTAGAAACATCAAAAAAGTGTTATTACAATTACAACAGATAATAAATACCATTAACTGGGGATTACCCAAAATATTTAAATTAATCAGAAAAGTTAAATTGAACACCACTATAACATTAAACAGGGACATGCATCATGTAGTATCGTCTTTATATAAACTTAATTAAATTAAAAGATAGTTAGAACATATACTATTCATATTTAACAATTGCAGATTGTTTGCTTGAAAGATAAGTTTCTCAGAAAACTAAGTTTAGGTTGTAAATTTGTATTACATAATTATGTAATTATTATTCCACTTTGGATATAGGGACGTTATACATTACATTCCTTTTGGTAGTCGGCCTAAACTGACCCCTTTTGTTTAGTCTTTGGTCAAGGCTAAGAGTCACTGGTAAAGGGTGTCCCACACTTCGTTCAATTCGTGCGATTTGTTAGATAAAGACCAGTGACCAAAAAAAAAAAAACAAAAAGACCGAACTCGGATTACACGGTTATTTTTTCCACACATTTCGAGCAATACACTGTATTCATCTGAATAAATCGCGAAACGTGTCTTCGAATATGCATCCTAGCAGCACGACGATATTATAATAAAGCTCGACAGACACGACGCAATTTCTACATGTATTTCTGCGCGAACTGCATTATTTTGGTGGAATTTTGGTTTTAAATGTTGTTTTTTTAATTTTAAACAATAAACGATACAAGAGGAAACAAGAAAAACCCACCAAGTTGTGTAAGGATTACATTTTGAATATTGGCATAATTATTTACGAGAGAAGGAACGAATCGTTTTAGCGTTAGAAATTTAGACTGCCATCTTAAAGTTATTATTTACCGTGCGTTTGGTTCTGTGGTCCTCTTAGGTCGATTACGATTCGGCGGTATCGGCGGTATTCTGTGATTCGGCGTCGTCGATTTTATTCGTGGCCATTTTCATAAAATTTTAGTTTGCTATCAATTTGCGTATTAAGCGGATTCGTTTTCGAGGGAATTAAACAGAGTGTCAGAATATTTGGATTTAGCACCCCAACGCAAGAGAATATTTTATTTTTATACTCACTTAGCAGGTAATGTCTTTGTGTGTTAATTCTTTTTTTCCTTTGCTGTACCTCCATATTTTATCATGACTGGCATTTGAAGCTATGCTAATTTCCGATTTAAATAGTAGAGACAATTTAGTTATGTACTGTGTTAATTTTACTTGAAGTAAATTAATAAATGCGTAACTGGAAATAGTTAATCAACCTCTAGATATTAGGCTTGTTACTGTTGTAACCAAAAAGAAAACATCATTCAACAAAAAATTCCAGGAAAATATTATACAGGTACCTATTTAAATATTTAAGTTTAATTTTTCAAGGATATCTTTCAATTCTTGGTTATTTCTCAAGTACGTACATTGAAATAAACACCTACGCTTGGTGTGAATTAAATATGTTATGGATTATTTTGCTTTAATTTGCTTAAGTAAACCATTTTTTTTTTGTTTTTTACTGAATTTTAACCTCTGGCAATTCAACGATTTTAACATTCGTGTAATAAATAATGTATAATTTATTTGGTTTTAATTTCATAGAATATTAATATTTTTTGTAAAGAACAAGGCTAAGTAAATATTCCAGCTAATTGATTGTGTTGAATGTTTGCGTTATTAGGGGCTTAAATGATAAAACAAAGTTGTTAACCGATTTCCTGTATTTCTTAATATTAGCTTACTATTAATCTTTAAATCTCATTTTGCTACAATTGAAAACGTTTTATTCTTAAATTTTAGTCTGAAGTTCCATTAATTTTACTTTTTAATGACATCTACTTCTTACTAGATTATGGACATAAAATATTGTTGCAGGTAGTTTAGCCATGAAGCGAGGAGCTGATGGTGACATGGGATCCCCACAAAAGCGTTCCCGAAGAGGTGATGAGGAAGTCCGCTTACTAATTCCAAGCAAGGTAACTAGTTTTTTCGTAATGGGCTTTGCAATAAGAATTACCGGATTAGCGGTGTCATTTGTTGAATTAAACATCAAATTCATCACATGTACCTTACTTTTCATCTAGTGCCATAAGTAATAGAGGGAAGTTAAGTCCCAGCAACCTGTTAGACTCATTGCTACAAATTTTATTTTCAATAATGGGTTCATATTTCCATGTCCCTTAAAACTGGCCAGAAAAATTTGTTTTGTAATGTCAGCCCATTGACTGTAAGCTTTCTGTATTACGGTCCAAATTTGTAGAAATATAATCGCATGTTTTTGCATAAGAATTGAATCCTCTCTCCTTTGGAAGCAAAAACTATTTTTATTTGCTTTTAGGCACAGAGAGACATTTCTCTTTCTTCATTATTGAAAGCAAATTCATTTACAATTTTCAGGTTGCTGGATCAATCATTGGCAAAGGCGGGCAAAACATCACCAAATTGAGAAGTCAGGTGAGTGAGTACAATTAGTTTTATGAATAGATGTTAACTTCTTAACCACTAACTGGTCATTTTTGTCATAACAGATTTTTGTAGGCTCTCACTTGCACTTGAATAAAAATTTGAATATCAGTACCAGTTATCAGTTTACATATTTAATTTTAATTTAATTACTTGCATTTGTAGGTTTCAACTTATCCATCCCCAATTTTAGCCATCTGCGTCTACTAGTGCAGGACTGAGAATACAGAATTTCCTATATTTGCTTATTTACTTTAGCCATTAACCCATTTACCATATAAATATTATACTTTTAGTACGGGACTGACTTTACTTTCGTACAACTTTTGTTTGTCTGAAATTTTACAGCTAGAATTGCTGTTTTCCCAAAAGTCACAATGAGTGTGGGTGTGCTTAATCATTCAATAAGACAATTTTTAAAACAAAAATGTAAACACATACGATTATAATTTAACAATTGTATCCCTTTCGTTAGATATTATTATATTGTTATACTTTTGGAATAGGAGGTACACTACTGTGATTTTGTGTTATTTTATTGTTAATTTTTACTTAAAGAAATTGTTGGAAAAACAATTTTTTTTTGGGATGCTTTACATTTTTTGGTTAGTTTTGGAATTTTAATTGCATTTTTTGGTTACCCTGTGCTATTACATGCGTTAATATAGATTCAAAGACATTACAAACCTGCTTTACTGGGTATCTTTAAAATTGCTCCAACTTTTTTTTAATGGGTATATTAATATTTTTTTTGTTAATTGGCTGTTCTGAAAATTTGGTAAGGTGCAAATTGGTATTACACAATTTGCAAAGGTTGATTTTTTCTAAACCAAATTGAACCCAACAATCATCTGAGGCTATACAAAACATCAGATCACAGGCGCAATTATGATATAACTAATGTGTTCTGTCCCCCATATGGCCCGCCCTGTTGCCACACCCTGTGCCCACCACTGCCCGCCATTTTGTTGTGCGCGGTTGCCTTCAATGATACATCTTCGCTGAACCGATTGACCTGATCTGAACTGAACAGTACAAAGCTTCAATAACTGTCCCTGATTGCCCGGGCCCTGAACGGTAAAGTCCAAATCTATCTCTTGTCTATTTTTATAGTAACTGTGATCTCTTTGCCTCTGGTTGCACTGTACTGATTTGGGTAATTAATGACTTCAGGCTGACACCAGGAGCAGTCTGTGTTTCAACTTTTCGTGGATAGGTGTTTAACCCGTTTTTTTGTATTACATCTGGATATTGTCAGCATTTAATGTTTGGTTATGAGAGTAGGGAATAAACATGGATTTTGCTTATCAGGAGTATATAAAATATTTGATGTTTTATCCCAAACCACACTACCTTGGTTAACTTTGCTCGGTTTAACGCTGAAGTCCTCAATTACAAACAAAGCAGTTGTTAATTTATGATCTAGATTTTGGTTTTCATAAACCTCCAAATAACAAATTAAGTAGGTGTTTCTTTCAAATTTCATGATTGTCAACAAATTTTCCCTTGATTACATGAGCGGTGCAACCAGGCTTTATTTTATATTCTTCCCTTGATCTAGGTTCAACTCCGGAATTGACCCGCGGAAGAATTTTTTTTTTGGGTTATCAAATCTCTTTTTAAAAATGGCTTGGGCAGTTCTTTATAGTAGCGATAGTGAACTTGGGATTCAATAAAACTATTAAACGCTAATATTAATTTATATTTTTTATAAACCCTTAAAAAATTCAAGCTTCGAATATGGTTCCTCAAATTGTCCGCTTCATTTATTTCACTGAGATATTTATTGACTAGCAAGTAAAAAATTGCAAAACGCAATAGGTAAGTAAGTGCAAGTTTTGTGCATGTCAGCACACGAAGTCCCTACGACATTGGGTGTTGCGTTGGTGTGAGTGAAGATCTTCAAATCTCAGATCCACTTTGAAGTTTAGTATAGACAGCAAAAACCCAAAAATATACATAACTCGGTAAATAAATAGTTGACAATTGTTTCTGGATTATGGTCATTGGTATGACATACAGCGTACGCATCCATTCCAATTGGTAGACTTGATCCAATTTTACACAACTCTGTTGAAACCATTGACAATATATTTAGACAAAAGTTAATTATAAAGAAGTTTTAATATTATAACTTGAACCATATTCGCAGTATTACAAGTTGATTCAACCTTTGAAATACTGAACTGCAAATATAAATTATGGATGGTTAGTTAAAAAGAAAGAACCTTGACTGATTAAATTTTTTTTACAGGCTGCTTACACTTTCTTCGGATTTGGATAGTGTGTGCAATATTATTAGAGATGTGATGCCCAATTTAGAAGAGGTAAGTTTGTTTTATATACTTTTAATATGTTCTCCTTATTAGTATTCAAGTTGAAATATGGGGAGCAACTCTGCTTTTTTAAATGACGTCGTCTTCTGGGTGATGTGTCACAAAGCATTTTGCAATTTAAATATGCCTATAAAATATATATATAAGTTATTTTAGTTAGCAACAATAACAAATTTTGTCACAATTGAAAAAATTTTTTTTAATTAATTTAATGAATTTATTTTTTTCAAAGTAGATTGTGTGGCCAGCTTACTAATGTTAATGAATTAAAATCGGCTAAAGAAGAGTAGTAAACATTTTGATAATTATATTCTACTTCTACTTGATGGTTTACAAAATGAAGGGCTGACCTAGTTTGTAGCTCAATGCTGTACCTGGAGTAATTTCTTTACGCACTCAAAAAATAAGAATATAATTATTACCTGTGATTGTTTTCTTATTCAATTCAAGAACGGCGCTACAGCTGGAAACGGAAATGACCTTGACGTCCGTATGATGATCCACCAGAGTCAAGCGGGATGTGTTATTGGGAAAGGAGGACAGAAGATTAAAGAAATTAGAGAGGTACATGGTATATTATTTATTTATATTGTTAGAGTACTAACAGGTTCAACCCAGCTACGCATTACAATTTTAAATAACAGTATTTGTAAGAGACGGTTTTTAGTATTTATTTCTATTTTCTGAGTTTAACAGCAATCATTTTGATTTTGTATAAGTTCCTTTAAGAATGCTGTTTTTTGTTGAAATTTTTAAAAGTTTTGGGGTTGATGTAAAATAATTGTTAAACAATTGCTATTTCAAATAATATTCTTTTAAAAATATTTGATCAGAATTTTGCGGTATTATAGAACTAGAATTTTCTTATCTTTTTTCTAGTTTTCAGTCGTCCTTATATGTAGACTTTTCATTACCTAATAATTGATACAGGGAGAAGTTTTACTGTTTAATGTTTGGTATAAATTTATTCACGTTTTTTTTATTTAATTTCTTTTGTTACAGAAAATTGGGGCTCGTATCAAAATTTTTTCCAATGTTGCTCCCCAGAGCACTGATCGTGTGATTCAAATTATTGGTGAGGCTGCAAAGTGTGTCGAAACTGTTCGAGAAGTTCTTACTCTTATTAAATCTGTAAGTATTAAATAAAATTGTTTTCGTTTACTGCATACTTGCTATAATATGTTAATTATATATTAAGAAGAATCAAATATAACAATAATAGTAGTAACACTGTTAATACATCCCTTAGAACCCCATAAAAGGTGCTGTCAATCCTTACGACCCTCATAATTTTGATGATGTGTATCCAGAGGAGTATGGTGGCTGGGGTAACCATAATATTGAGGGTGGTCGTGGCAGCAGCGGGGGCGGCGGTGGTAGCTTTAGAGGCGGTAGGGGGGGATCTGCCGGGCCAAGAGGGGGTGGTGGACATTCCCTTCCTCCGCCACGTGGTGGAATAAGAGATGGTGGTGGACGATTTGGGAGTAGAGGTGGAGGTTTTGGAAACAGGTAAAGCAGCAAAATTATGGTTTGGGTCTTTAGAAGATGATTATTATATAAATATTTATTTTGACTTGATCACTCAGTAAAAAATTCGTTTAAAAATCCGCCTTCGCACCAGTTCTGTGGCACATATTAAACATTTGCATTTGTAGTTATAATGTTTCACTTCATTGTCTTTCTTTTTAGAGAATTAAAAAATTAATAAATTAAGGGGATGCTTTGACTTTTGATTAATTACAAATATTAACTTGCACTGAAAAATAAGATAACGTGAAGAGTAATACTGCAGGACAGTTTTATTTGTAAACTTGATATTCTTACATCTTTCAGAGCCAATATGCGTCCTACAAAGAACATTTGTTTTTTTTTTCTTTCAGAAATAGTAATTTTGACAGACCATCTGGTGGTGGTCGTTCATTTGGAGATGCCCCTTTTGGAAATCGTAATCGTCCCCCGCCATTCGGAGATAGGAACGGGTGGAGCAGCAGTTCCGCATCTTTTAACAATCCGCCAGCGCCACTAACTTCTTCTATACAGTCAGGACCACCTTCAGGATCTGGTTCTATTGGTTTAGGCGTAACCAGTTCAACTGGCGGCAAGAATTCGACACAAGTCACTATTCCCAAAGATGTAAGAAAATTTATAGATTTATAAGATGGATTGAAAAAGTTTTTTGTACCGAGGAGACTTTCTTTATTAGTTTTTTTTCTCCATTTTTTAACTTACTATATCCTCGATATCCTAGTCGACTGGGTGTGAAACCAAACTCGAAAACAACTTGTTGCTTGGAATAAACTTAAATTTTTGCCAAGCACTAGTAATAACTAACTAATAAACTACGAAAAGTATACGTTCGTCACATGTATTTATTACACAGATAACATTTTATCGCGCCTAAACTTCTAGTGTGACAATGTCACAATAAGATTTTAAAGGAAGGAAGTGAGAAGATAGTAAAATGGTCTATTGTAATCTATGTAATTTAAAATCATCTTTAATTCCCTATGAGTGAGTTGATGTCAGTAATGTCAGTTAGATTTTTCAGTGTGTGAAATTTGTAACTTAAGTTAATCGTGGTTGTACCCTATGTTTGATGGTGTAACATTCCAGATATTGTTAAAAATTGGTGATTAGTATAAATTGTTTTGTAGCTTGCAGGAGCTATAATTGGGAAAGGTGGCGGTAGAATTAGAAAAATAAGGCAAGACTCTGGTGCCGGTATTACAATAGACGAACCCCTTCCAGGCTCAAATGACCGAATCATAACTATAACAGGCTCTCCAAATGAGATTCAAATGGCACAATATCTGCTACAACAAAGGTGAGTGATGAGAAGATTGGTCAATCAGTACTAAGGTGGAAAATAGAAATTTCTGATGCTCATGTACCCCAAAATAACAATCAAAACAATGTAAATACCTTTGACATTAAAGTCCACATCCTGTATCATGACCAGTAAACAATAAAAGATTTTCATCATCATGCTAGAGTGGTTCTCAAACAATTTATCAGGTATGGGAAACCTCTGACATGAAAGATATCAGATTTCAAAATGTCTCGCGGGCTGGGGGTTGGCCACATTTCATCTAAATTAATAAAAGAACTGTAAGCAGGGTATTATTTAAATATCGCATATGTTTGTACAAAATTTTCCATAACTTAAGGTTGCTGCTGTATGTAGGGCCTTCCATTGATGGTGAATACAAAAAATAATTTTAAAAAATTGTAAAATGTTGATGAAATAATATTTATTTGTGATTATTAACACTAAATAATTAGAAATCATAGGTAAAACTTAATCTAGAAAATTAAAAGTAAGACAGTTATAGTGGTACAGAGTAGTAATAATCTCAATATACTTTAATAAATTGTGGGAAAAAAATGCCTAAAACTTCCATATATTGACAAACACAACTTTTTGTTTGGTAGCTAAATAGAAACCTAATATCTCTCACTGGGTGCATTAGTGGCACTACAAAATAATAGTTCCAAGAAAATCAGTGATTTAGGAAAATAAAAACTGAAATATTGAAATAACTCATATCAACTCTCACATCTCTTACCAAATTTATAGTGATATGACTTTATAATTGTATATTGATTTTTTTAAAACAAAATATCTTTTGAGGTTCTTTAAATCTTGTGCCGTTATAGATTCCCAATTTTCAATAAAACAGTACAAAGTTTTAACATCATTTTATTATAAGAATACCTATAAAAATATAATACGGTAATAATAATAATAGGGAAATTAATAAAACATTAAAAAATGTGCCTTTAACTTTGGCATGTAAACAATAATCACAAAAAACATCGGCAAGCTATAACTAAAAAACAACCGACCTATAGTTTTTGATACATGTCGAAGTAGGTATTATTTCTAAAATAAAAGAAACAACTAACAAATTAGTAGTCCTTTAACACGTAAACAATAAAAAGCAATCGACATAGAGTTTTTGGTAGAGAGCCACTGTTAAAATTATAAGAAGCAGGAATTATTATGGCACGTAAACAAAAGTTAAGCTCTTCTCAAAAGCAACAACCAAATGACCTGGTTTTTAGAAAATAAACAAAAAAGTAACTGAAAAACAGTGCCACATTTCAGCTATTATAAAAGTGACTGTCACATTTTTTAATAGCATTACTGTGTAGAAAATCCATTAAGTCATTAAACTTTTTCTTTTGAATTGGTATAATGTCTAAAAGATGTGTTTCATACAAAAACACAGGCATCATTATTTTGACAATGTAGCCTGGACTGTCCCAATGTAAGGTTAAAGAAGTTTGAGTTACAAGTTTTTTTTAATCCAAAAAATCATCGTAACTCATCTCTACGACTTTATAAGGAGTTTCCGTCCTCTTCGCGATTTTTATCAATATTAGATACTAATAAGTACTTACTTTCAAGTAAGATCGTTAAAAAATGCGGGAAATTCAATAGCGGCACTAACTCTCTCTAGCGGAACTGAAATAAGATAACTATGTGCCGGTATTGTTCAATATTAAAATACAAATGTGCGAGTTTTATGATACAATTAACTAAAAATATCTATTTGCCATTATTGCACCCAGTGATCGATATGTTTTGACAGTACAGGTTACACCAAACAGCAGTCAGTATAGACCAGTGTAATTTTCGTTATGATCAAGTACAGCGAAAGTGAAGGTATGCCTACTTCAACTAAGCTGACATACTGCTTCTGGCCTTATTGAATACCGGTCATCATATGGGGGCTGGGGGGTATCACTCCAGGCCTTTGTACATTTTCATTTGGTTTTATACCAAATAGTCGGCACCAACAGTTCTTTGTGTCGAATTGTTGGCTTATCAGCTATTTATTACTGTAAAAAGAACATACTTGTTACTTGCTATTGGCCTTTTATCTTTACCAGATTTGCGCCCTAGAAGCATTTTCTAATTCTTATTTTTGTTTGTAATATTCCCTTCGATGGACGCAAAAGTTTTGTGTTTTTTTTTCAGTTTTCCTTTTCTCTTTTTGATTTCCAAACAACACAAACCTGACTGTTAAATACATTTAATAATTTTTTTCTGTACAGCAGTTTGGAACTATATGTGCTATCACATATTGTTTATAAAATTTCACAGTTAGCGCCTTCATGTAGTATGATGTCATTGTTTTGAGAAGTTTAAATTAGCTTGAATACATTTACTTTACCTTTTAGTTAAATGTAATGCTTTAAAGGGTATTTAAAATTTGAAAAGATCTTACCTGTATGTACAATGTTTATGAAAGTTTAACAAATATTTGTATACAGCGTACTGGCGTAAATGGTAAAATACCATGAAATTTATATTTATTTATTTTAACTTATATATAAATGGAGCCGATATTATTCTAGAGATTCTCCGAATCACTAAGTATCCTATTCGGATGTTCCTTGAAGAGGATTATAGGTAAACGTATAATAATTTATTGCAAAATACATATTATTATTAAATCATGGAAGATAACACTCTACAATTGCAATTGACAGGTCAATTAACAAGTGCTCCATTGACCAGTCCCAACACTAAGTATGGGCTCGTTTAATACTGAAGTGGAAAATAAATATAGCAAGTATGCGTATTCTCTTTGCCAAACATGAAAATGATATTTGTATGGAAAATATTGTCAATTGAATACAATATTAGTAAAATATAGCAATAGCACTGTAAATTTACGACTTACCAGCTGACTAACTTTTCTTTGAGTTAATTAAAAAGCTTTATTATTAACACTTTAACTACTTTCATATTTATAGGCCCTTATCATTCCTTTTCCAACTAAACATGACTAATCATCGATAGAGTTCTGCTACTAACAAGATGGTGTTGTGTGGAAGACTAGTGATTTTGTTGTTCTGATTTTAAAAACAAGGAATCACTATTCCTCCCACAAAGCTGTCTACTATCAACAGGAGCTTCATGTTTCTTACTTCATCACTTATATGTACAATAACATGTTGCATCTACCGGGAACAAATTGTAAATATTTAAAATGCAATTATGTAAAAAATGTGTTTGGAACACTTCTAGATAAACTTTTTGCAGATGTTAGGTTTCAAGGTTTCTATTCGACTTGCACTTGCCGTTTTATTAACCATTTTGTATAAAAGGCATTTAACTTTTTGTAATTTGTTATGTTCAATGTTCATGTTAGAAATTTTTGTTAAATTTGTTTTGGTGGTTATTGAATTGATTCCCACTTTACTTTTAAAATTGCTTCTATAGTGTTGTTTCAAATGGTTAATTTTGTATACATGGAACCACACTGTCAAAGTCTCTTTTCGAATGGAAACATTTTAAAATTACATCGTGAGGTGAGTTGTGAGTCAATTCAATTTATGAACAAAACCGTCATAACCACCACCACCACGTCATAACCACCTAGTAGTTATCCAAATCAACAATTTTATGAAGAGATTCTCCAGTCATTATGCAATATTAGGTTGTGGATTAGGCGTCTTAGTTTGTCAGTTTGACGGTGAGATGTTTGATGGCGATGAAGACCCTAGAAGTTCTTTCTTCAGACAGAAATATTTATGAATCATGGTATATTGTTGCTTATGCATTGCTTCCAGGTTTTTTTTTTAATTTACGCTTTATTTAGCCACTGCTGCTAAGGCAATTCGGCCAGCTTCACGGTAGTGGTGTGCAATAAACTATTTCCATGAAGGATGCCTCCGTAAAGAGGGTCTGGGTGATACCATCATCCTACTGGACGGCTATACAGGGAAAAAAAATGGACGAAAGAATTAGAATATGTGAAAACAATATTCAAAGTTTTAATCCACATGCATCTAAAAATCGGCAAACAATTCTAGCAGCAAAATCCAACTGAGTGCGGTGAAATAAAATGGAATTAATATGCAGAGGCGAAGGAAAATTAGCACTAATGAGTGACTCATACAACTGTTGTGATTTTTCCCAATGAAGAGCACAATCAAACAGCACATGACTTAAATCGCCCAGTTCTCCACATTCACAGTCTCCGGAGAGTTTGACTTTGATTCTATTTAGGTGAGCCGGAGAACAGCAATGGTTGCTTCTCAGTCTACACATAGTTGTAATTTCTCTTCTATTCAGGTCGAGCTTATGAAACCAGGGTTTAGTTGGCGGAGTAGAATAATGTGAGGTGAAATTAACTCCTTTCCCTAATCCTATATGTTTCCATCTGTCGCTCCAAGCATTCCAGATGTTATGCTTTAATTTAGGGAAGAATTCCCTAAAGCTCAATTTTATATTTTCCTGTGGTTCGAGGCGTGCAGCATTGGCGATCTGATCCGCAATATCGTTTTCTTTTATACTGGTATGGCTTGGTATCCAGCATAATTGGATGTCCTTATTTTGCGTTTTTATTAAGGTAAATAGTTTATTCTTAACCTGCAAGGTTAGGTAGTTAGACTTTGCATCCATCCCAGTTTTATTGATATCTTCGAGGGCACTTTTGGAGTCTGAAAGGATGACTGCTTTGTTGATGTCCTTGAATTCAATCCAATCAAGAGCTTGACCAATAGCATAAATCTCGGCAGAGCAAATGGATAGTTCACTTGGTAGGCCTTGTCCCATTTTAAGGTTCGTATTGTAGTTGTAAACGCCAAAACCTACTCGGCCTTCTTTATCTTTTGAGGCGTCTGTAAAAATTAAATGAAAATCTGGGGTCCAAGTCTCGCTCTTCTTAATTTCAAATAATTTGGAGTTATTATTATCTTTCTTTAGTTTTAAGTCTTGGATTTGAACAGAGCTTAAAAGGTTCGGCAGTGGGCAAGAAAAACAGGGATAAACTGGGCTCCTGTAAAGTGTATCTAACAGTGAATCAA